AGGATATAAAATATTTAACAACATAATTAATCTAGACAACTTATACAAAATACTGCATACAGCAAGTGTATTCTGTATGTAATTTCCAGGCGCACATAAAACATGGACAAAAACTGAACACATGCAGGGCACAAGACTAGTCTCAACAAAGCTTAAAATATTAAATCATATACAGAATATACTTGGACCAGAGTGAAATTAAGAAAGAAAAATAATAATGGTAAGTACAAAAAAAAAGCAAATACATTAGAAATTAAGCAATGCATTTCTAAATAACCTATGGGTCAAATCGAAAATGTCAATAGAAATTTGAAAAATATTTTCACTGAAAGAGAATGAAAAGGCCACATGTCATAAATGAATGACAGAGAAAAGTCAAACATTTACAGGTTGAAATGAATATAGTAAAAAACAGATTTTCATTCTCAAGATCTATTGATTTGCACAAGGTGACTAATTTTAATAAAAGAAGAAATCTTTAACTTCAAATATATCTGGACTTTTTACTCTTCTGGTAGTAGGGTAAAGGGTTTGGGAGGGAGATGAAAGTATTATTACTTGGGAAACATGCTTTGTTTCGATTTTTTAATCTGGAAAGGATTTTTGCTATTTTATGATTTCTCTTTCAATTTTTACCATTTTGACAATTAGGAAAACATAACCAGAAGCAGTCTTTTTTGTTGGATTTTTACTTGACTTTAGGGAGTTAATGTTCTTTATTAACACAAGAGCATCTAGCATTTACTTTTCTTCTAGTTTTCTGAGACAATGGATCCAACACCAGCACTCCAGTCAGAGTGGCTGCCTTGAGACTTGTTCCACATTCTTCACAAATGCGTACCCAATGAAGGAGCCACACTGTGACATTTTCACTTTCCTCACAGTTTTCCAGGAGATAAAAAATCTTAAGCTTATTGCTCTTGGACTGTTTCTTTGGGGAGTAGTGTAGGACCTCACTCTGGTCTTGAAATCACAGCATTAAGTCTTAACACAGGATGAAATGGGAGCTCCTTCTGAAGGTCAGAGCCAGAAAGGATGCAACTATCTCTCAAGAACTTAGCAGCAAAACCTGATCTGCTGGTCAGTATAAATTTTTTTTTAATCTTGAACTTGGCCTCCGCATTGTCCATTGTATACAAAGGTTCACGTTCAAGAATGATATTCCTCCCCTTGAGCTTTTGTGTGAATATTTCTGTCCTTCTGCTGGTTCGGGGTAAGTTTCACTCAGTGGAATAGCAGAGCATGTGGCAGAAAGGTTTCTAGCCAACATGCAGCAAAAGAGAGTACACCCCAATACTGTGCTTATTAAAAACTTACAAAAATAGTTTTTAATCATAAACAACTTTGAAAATCTAAGAAATGTTATCCCCCTTACCTCTGGAAGAAATTTACACATGCAAATCCAAATTTTGCACTCAAGGCATTCACAGAATGTGTGGCGTCCATGTATGAACACGGATTTCAAGACCCCTGAACACTCTAAAAAAATAGAATATTTTGAAAATTAAAACTCTCAAGGGAAAGTAAATAGAAATACATATTTTTAAAATATACCAAAAGTTCAGACTCGGCACTCAACACATTAATGCCATGCATTGTTTTTCCTCTACCTAAGGAACTATCACCAACAATGCGTTCCACTTTTCCAGGTAGCATACTCACCAAAGCAAGAGAGCGCCAAGAGAAACAAAAAATAATAAAGAAATCTCAGCACATCTAAGATCGTGCACTTGATAAAACTGTTTTCTTAGCTAGACACACTGTGAAATTCTTTTCATGGTTTTTAGTCTAAGTAATTTGATCAGATCACCATTCCGCTTCAGCACATCACTCAGAGCTGCTCACTTACCCTGAGTGCCTCCTTGAAAATGTTTCCTCTCATCCAAATTCCTTTCCACTGATAGAACAAGAAGATTAACAGGATTAGGTGTCTCTTACTTTTTCTTTTTCACGCTGTGAAAAGTTTTGTATTTATGCTTTATTTTATTGGTCTACTGCTTTTGATGGGTTCAGGTTTTTCCCTACCCACTCCTATCCCTTTGTAAAAGTCTGCATAATTAAAAGGGTTGTCTTCTAATCTTTCTTTACTGTTAAACTTGCTCAAGAAAATACCATCTGGCCCTACTTATTAGCATGTATTTTCATTCTCTAAAATTGCGAATGAGGTACCCTAGTATGATGTCCTCTGAACGATGTATCTCGTTAAGAAAATATACTTTCCTCTGATTCTAGATTTTCGACTTGATTCTGACTATTAAGCTACTTATTTGGAGATAAGGAAATAGGAAGAGAGAGAGTAAAAATAAAACAATGAAATAGTTTATTAAGTATGTGCTAAGTCTCAAGAGATAAATGGAAAAAATGTCATTTTTGCTCTCACTTTATCCTCATGTTAATTCTGATAAAGGGACTTGTACTCCAAATGGTCTCTATCTTTCCTAGCCTATTAGTAGACTCATTGATGGCACTGTTACTAAGATCTGGCTGTTTCATCGTCCCTACTCCTAACTACAGCACTCAATGCCCTTCTTCCCCTCAGCTCCACCCACTCGGGCATCTCAGTTTGCGGCTGCAGGGCATCCTGGGAAATTCAGCTCCCCCTTGTTTAATTGACCACCTTCTCCAAGCTACCTAAGGATGAACCCACAGATGCTGGTGAACCCACAGATGCTCTGTGACAATTGGGCTTCTTGCTCAGGATTCCAGCTCTTGACTCCCAAAGTCATAAAACCTTCCAGCTGTGAAACACCATCACATTATCCTTTAGCCCTCACTGTGCCACACCCACCTCAACCCTCCCTCAACTCTTATCTTCCAAATAGGAACCTTTATTGAGAATAAAACAGGATGCTATTAGTGACTGCACGAGGACAATGGGGATAAATTGGGACTGCCGCACACAAGCCAAGACCAGTGGTTATCTTGGAGCGACGCTGCTTGTCCCACAAGAACCAAAAAAAAAAAGCTTTATGAAAAGTTTTGCTTCCTTCTTTGTTTCCTTTGGATTTACTGTGTTGGGATCCTTCCCTTAAAAAACAAAGTGTTTCCAGTTGGCTTAATCAACCACTGAGTTTTTTTAACGTAATAGTCATTTTTATTTATTGACGTTCAATTTGCTTCTTTTACAAATCTACTCATAATTTTTGTTAGTCTCCTGTCCCAGAACCGTCATTTCTACTCCATATTTTGCTTCTTTTAAACAGTTATCTACGTATGTATTTTACAGTATCTTATCTTGCTGAGCTTATGCTGTTGTTGGCAGTTTCTGCTGGACTCATTTATGGTGGCTCCTTTTAATATGTGTTGTATAATTTAGGATCATTGAGTTATAGCTAGCTGATTCTAATTGGCGGTCATCTTTGGTCCCCTAGGTTAAGACCATATTCTTCTAGAGAGTCCTGCTTGCTCACATTGAGTGTCCTAGGGCACTGCCATCCAGAGGTCATTTAAATTAATCTTGGTTTGGAATTTCCTAATCCATGCAATTAGGTTCAAATTCCATACATGAAAAAGAAGACATTTTCATCAATATATTAATTTTATGCTTGGTGCTAAGACTTAAGCAGCCAAGTTTCCCTATTTGGTTTCCCTTCCAGAGATCAGTGATTTTATTCCTAGCCCACCTTTTCCTAAACACATACTTCACGAGGAAATCCAAGTTCATATCTTCATCTTCTTCAGGGTCAGTGTCTTATTTTCTATCTGTGTAGCCAACCCAGGACAGCTGAAGCATCAGTGCCTGAATATCACCTGATTTTCTCTTAGCTTTGGCCCCAGGTTATATGTCTTTTCTTGTTTATTTATTTACAGAGTTGTTTACTCACATACTTTATGAACTCAACTATGTGCTTCTTTATGTGTTCCTCTATTTTATTCAATATTTCTAGGTATTCTATAAGGAGAGAATATTTGGAAGATTTTCATTTTACCACATTGTCAGAAGCAGAACTTGGAAACAGTATTTGTCATATGGTCAGGGAAGTTTTAGAAATTTCTTTCATGCTTATAGATCTTTTACTTGGTAAATCAGCAAGATCCGGAAGGAAGACATTTATTGTTAAAAATGAAGCCCCTTCTCAACTGTCATGAGAAGCCAAGGTCTCTAATCTTTGGTAAAACTCTTGGTGAATGAGATGACAGATATTGCATGAGTTAGTAACGTACTGTGTCTGTGAAGAAAATCATACACCATCCTGAGGAAACTATCTCCAAATTACAAATGAGCCAAAGTGCAGGATATAGGCAAACTTTCACCAACTCTTAATGTAATTACTTCTCTTCATCTTTTTTTTTTACTGTTGTTCATTTTTGTTTTGATTGTAACTCCAGTCGCGGGATTTTTTTCAACACTTAAGTGAACTTGTTTCACTGCCAATATTTTTATGCAACTCAGTGGCCTGTCTGGTTTGAGGAAATGAGAATCCCTTTAGACATGTTGAAAAAAAAGTGGTCTATATGCTTCCTTCTCTTCCCACCTTTCCTCCACTGACTGACATAGTTCCCCATTCCTTAATCATACAATGTGGGTTGATCAGCACTGGGCCACTTATGTCCAGGATGAAAACACGAGGAAAATTGTCATTTTTCCTTAATACTTCATTCTAAGAAAGACACATTGGGTTATACCTACAATACCACCTATAATGCTGGCTCCAAGAATAGAGATGTAGCAAAAATTATTTCCAGACTTATGACACCTAGCACAATACTCTCATTAATGTATATAATTGGGTTTATTGACAGCTTTTTTCTTTATGTGTCTATTTCTAATATTATATTCTGAAAAGAAAGCATTCCATTCATTCTTCAACAGCTGCCATTAGAGTTTCATTAGATTGCTACAAATTTTGTTGTTCAGTTCTCTGCAAAAATTAGCTCCGCCGTTCGGAAGACAGACCATAAAATTTTAGAAGGTCGCAGAACTTAGACCTTGTGCTGAAATGTACCATGCACCTTAGCAAGAGGAATATAAGCATTAAGATGAGCTACATCTTGCTTCCCAGGGAATGGAATAAAGTCTGTCAGGAAGAGATTCCCACTTGCGTCTCCCACTTGCGTCAGAGATCAGAAGAGACTCCCAAAGGCTAACAAGAATAAGGGTGAGTAATACATTTTTACTTCAACCAAAAAAAGCAAGAAAAAGAGCGAAAACATTCGAAGACAGACAAATGTTTGTACTAAAATCCAGATTTCTCAAAAACAAAACATTTTAAAACATTTCACAAAATCGTTCAACAGTATAATCCTTAACTTCTAAGCCCCACAAACCAGAAAAGCAGATTTCAGAATATATTCTAACCTACCAGCTCTGAAAACAGACATCCATTAACTTGGTTGTTAAGTATGCCACCATTACATTCAGCATCTACCAGGAGGTTTCTTTTAGGCCAAAGCAGCCCATTCCCAAAATAGCCCATGCCAGCAAGTGTGTCTATGGGCTCTCAGATCCAGGTGATCTAAGATGTGTTGGAGCTAAATTGTAAGACAGTCAAGGAAGAATTTTTAAGAACAAGGACAGCAAAGAGGAAAGACAAATGAGGAGTTTTTGAACCTCTCTGGGGAACCCATCTGGGCTGGGTACTTTTTAAACTGCTTCAGTGTCTCAAGTGTGAATTATCCCTCCCCTCTTCTCCAATAGCAGATTGAGACTAGCTTATAATCAGTTTTAAACTGCAAACACAGACAGAAATTTCCTAACACCTAGTATGACTTGTTGATTACTCAGCCAACAAATCCTGAAAAGATTAATAAGGTGCTATGTAAAACAAAATTTGGAAGTATCCACCTAAGACCTTTTGAAATCTAAGGGTATTATAAGTTTCTCTAACCCTGAAGGAGAACATTAGCCAGGCTGGTAGATTCTATAATTAGTCAATTTTAAGGGAAATTGTCATTTTAAAAACTAATCTGTTGAATTTGGTGGTGGAGGTCTGAAACCTAGGTCTTCAGAAAAAAAGGGCAACTTCCGTTTTCTTAATATAGCAACATTTTATGAGTGGTAATGTTTATTATAATACAATGTTGATTTAAATATTTCAAGCAGAAAAAATACTTTGAAAATATGATTTGCTTCTTCAGTAAACATTATTAATTCCACAACATGTAGAGCCAGAGTGTACTGAATCTTTGGAAAGGTCAATTATCTTTCACCCCAAGATTACTGATCTGTTATTTCATTTGATAAATCAACTGAATTTGACATCTAAGGGTTACCTGATATTTACCTTTCAATAAAATGTCTCCACTCTGAAAATCGACAATTTAATCATCTCACTAGCTTCTATCTTTAAAATTTCTTGTATAAGCATGCCTATGAAAATACCCCATAGACATCATGAAGACCTGCAATCCACTGGCCTCACCGCTGTCCCCTCCCTTCTTCCTTTCTTCTTTGTTATACTTTATTCTTTAAGCTAGAATTCATCATCCACCATTATGGTCAACTCTTTGTAAACATATTCACTATCTCTTTTTCCCGCTACCACACTCACTTGGAAAATAAAAAGCAGTCACTCAGCTAGTGAACATCTGACTTCCCCATGTTGGCCATTTGTACAGCTGGGAATTGCTGGGTAAAATCACACAGAGGATGATTCAACACCACCCGATATCCCAAATATATTTCCAAATAGCATCAATAAACTCTCTGTCTCTCGGCCGAATGCAGTGGCTCATGTTTGTAATCCCAGCACTTTGGGAGGCCAAGGAGAGTGGATCATGAGGTCAAGAGATCAAGACCATCCTGGCCAACAAGGTGAAACACTGTCTCTATTAAAAATACAAAAATTAGCGGGGCATGGTGGCATGTGCCTGTAGTCCTAGCTACTTGGGAGGCTGAGGCAGGAGAATCATTTGAATCTGGGAGGTGGAGGTTGCAGTGAGCTGAGATCACGCCACTGCACTCCAGCCTGGGCAACAGAGTGAGACTCCATCTCAAACAAACAAAAATCTCTCTCTGTTGCTCTCCTCCCTCTCTCTCACTCTCCACCTTTCTTTCCCCGGCACTCTCATCTCTTTGATACATCTTTGGTATTTAGAAAAGGATGTATGTTTTGTTCCAATGGTTACGTTTATAAACCTGCTTCAACAATTATTTATCCACGATGAAACTTAACTCCTCGGAAAGCCTGTCTCATATCACAGACTCACTCCTCAAACCCTACTTCCTCCTTTTATCTGCACACATTACCCAGTACTTCACTGAGGCAATCCTCAGAAAGGATCTGATCTTCCTGTCTCTTGCACTTTTACCCCACAGCTATTTATTTCCTTTTGTAAAAATAGAGGAAGGTTTTTGTTTTCTAGCTAATGAAAAATCTATCCATCCGTCTCAGTCTTTCAAGGACTTTCTTGGAGTGATCCCTCTTTTTCTTGCTTTCTCAATCTCTCTCTTGTTACTGGGTCTTTGTCTTTCACACAAACAAGTTCCAGAATCTACCATTATATAAAATAAATAAAAAGAGAAAGTGAGCTTCCCTTGGTTTATTATCCTTCCCCAGGCACTCTCACATTACTCTGTTTCTCCTAAGGGCCACATTTTAAAATACTGCCTACTGATTATCTCTGCTCTTGAATTTTTTTTTTTTTTTGAGACAGAGTCTGGCTCTGTTGCCAGGAGCCAGGCTGGAGTACAGTGGCGCTATCTCGGCTCACTACAACCTCCGCCTCCCAGGTTCAAGCAATTCTTCTGCCTCAGCCTCCCGAGTAGCTAGGACCACAGGTGCACGCCACCACGCCCAGCTAATTTTTGTATTTTTTAGTAGATACGGGGTTTCACCATGGTCTGGATCTCTTGACTTCGTGATCTGCCTGCCTCGGCCTTCCAAAGTGCTGGGATTACAGGCGTGAGCCACTTTGCTCTTGAATTTTTATGTACTGCTTGACTCATTTCAATCTGGATTTGTCCCCAACTACTGCAACGAAAATGATTATGCCAAGGTCACTAGTCGCCTAAATGTTGCCAAATCCAACAGACAGTGCTAATTTTACACTGCTGTGTGCAAGGAGCAAAGGAAACAGTTGACTACTCTGCTTCCTGAAACACTTTTCTATTAAGGCTTTCCTTATGCCACGTGCTATGGACTGCATATGTATGAACCTCCCCCAAATTCTTAATGTCGAAGCCTTAACAGGCAATATGAATATACCTGGAGATGGGGCCTCTAAGGAAGTAACAAAGGTTAAGTACGGTCATACAGGTGGTCCTCAATCAAATTTTCATGTCCTTATGAGAAGGGATATCAAAAAAGCACTCTTGTGTTCTCCTATGCACCCACTCTCTCCCCACACCTTCAGAGGAAAGGCCGTGTAAGGACAAATCAGCCATCTGCAAGCAAGCAGGAGACGCTTTGCCAGAAAACAACTATGCTGGCACTTTGATCTTTGACTTCCAGACTCCAGCTTCTAAGAACATAAATTTCTGTTGTTTACCCAATATGTGGTATTTTGCTATGGCAGCCCTAACAGATTAAGACGCCATCTCCTCCAGATTTTCTTCCAGCTCTTTTGCTGCTCCTTTACAATTCCAGCTGGTCTACCCTAGTGTAAATATGAGAGCCTCTTACAGCCGAATCTCTCTCTTCTCTCTTTATTTCCTCTGCCAAAGCAGTCTCCAATTTCTCATAGTTCTATCTACCATCTGAATGCTGCTGACTCCCACAATTATATTCCAGTTTAAATTTCTTCTGGAATTTCCAGAATTTTATATCAACTGGTTATTGATGGAAAACAAGAAAATGTTAAAACACTTTGCTGGTTCCTAAAGCTTCTGCCCAGAAGTAACACACTTTTATTCCAATTTCTATAGCCGTGCCTTTCATCAAAGGTCACCGGGCCATGTGTGACTTTGATGTACTAGTGATATGCAAACCTAACATGTGCCTGGAAGAACAGAGACGATCATAATTTGTGATCACTCCCAATACTATTGCAATGCCTAGATGTATTTCTTTCCCAGATGGCCGAGGTGTCTTCGACATCTTATCCATCTACAGCGTCACTCACTCAATTGTTAAAAGTATATTAGCACACTTGATTTCTTCCTTTCCTCATCTCCCACACACAATCCTGTTAATTCTAGACGGTCTTCAGCACATACCTAGAATGCATCTCTTGCCATATTCACACTAGCTATGCAATCCAGATCACTGCTATCAATTGTCTGCATGAATACTACATCATTGTAACTGAAGTCCCCACTACCTCTCGTTTTCTTTTGCCCTGCACTTTTTACTTTGTCATATTTCAGGAAGAATGATACATTAGAAGTGAAAAAAAGAAAGTCAACCATGTCAGCAGCCCCCATCACCTGTTCCCGACAGGATTTGAGCCACTGTTCTCATTCGTTGCGCTCCAGCCAAGCTGGCTTCCCACCTGCTTTGTCTTCTTCCTGTTCACCCCCAGCTGTTCACATGGCTGTATCCTCAGCCTTAACCAGCAGCTTAAATACGATTCTCTCAGGCAGGATTTTCCCAATAACCTTATTTTAGCAGTGACTCACATACACACCACCCCCGCTTTATTTCCATTGCAGAACACTGCTCATAACACTTGAGTATATTTGCAATTAGGTATGCATTTACATTATCTGTTATTCATCTCCTTCGGCTGGCATGACCTCTATCTTTCTTATTGTTTAGTATATCCCTGGCATGAGCATAGTGCCCTAGTAGAAGACAAACACTAAGCCTGCAAATTTCAGGCCCTTGTTTACTGGAGCAAAAGACAGACTTCACATTCCTTCTGATTCTCTTACTATTTTGCTCACAGTGTATGCTCAGTGAATAGAATGGGACCTATAACATGCATGAAACACATATATCAGAAACAAATATTAGATTATTTGCAGTTTTTATTGGACTCATTTTTACGGGCCTTTGACCTTGTGAATAGGAAGGAATCATTTGTGGATCATGCTATGTTATTTTTGCCTAGACCCTCTAACTAACATGTGAAGAGCATGTACTCCTCAACTTCCTGCTGAGGGTCCAAACTGGAAAGACAATCGTTTGACACAGCAGTTAAGATGTCCAGTTGAGGCTGGGCACCGTGCCTCACACTTGTAATCCCAGCACTTTGGGAAGCTGAGGTGGGTGGATCACCTGTGTTCAGGAGTCTGAGACCAGCCTGACCAACATATCTACAAACCCCATATCTACAAAAAATTAAAAAATTAGCCAGGCATGGTGGCACATGCCTGTAATCACAGCTACTCAGGAGGGTGAGGCAGGAGAATCACTTGAATCTGGGAGGCAGAGGTGGGGGTGAGCCAAGATAGTGCCATTGTACTCTAGTCTGGGCAACAAGAGTGAAACTCCATCCCAAAAAGAAAATAATGTTCAGTTGAAGAGCTCAGGATCATGCTCAGACTCCATTCCTACTGCTTTTGAATGTGCACAAAGTGCCCTTGCTATAAAGAAAACAAATCTGTGATATAGTTTATATTTATTTTTATTATTTATAACCCAGAATGTTTGCAACATATAAATCATCCTGCTACCAAATTAATTAGAAATTAAAATAGCTAAACATCAAATATTCTAGAAATAACATTATTGGTAAACATTCCCCATTTCAGACAGCTTATAAAGATCCCATTTAATAAGGTAACATTTTGTTACTTTACTATTAATTTTTCAACCATTTTTAAAGTACCATTGAAGATATTTAGTGGGGCCATGAAGAGTATCAGTTTACATATCCCTTAAAGTGTTTTCAAGCCGAAGCTATTTTATCCATGCCATGTAGAGTAAAATCTTCGGACTTCTGCCACCAATTTATCCGTTCAATAGAGTAAGTTTTAAATAAACACTTAACCAGGATTCTGGACTAGTTAGACGACTGTGAGGTAACCTCGAAAAATTATGGATGACTTTCTAATTAGACTAGTGTCTTTTGGTTAGCTCTTCGGTTTTATGAAAATACAGCAGCTATGCTCATGTCCTGGTTCCTGCCAGGCAACATGAAAATGCAGACTTAATCTATGAACCTTAGTAATTCAGTCAACAAAATTGTATCCAATATGGATTTCTCAAAGCATATCTGGTCTACCCATTCTGTCGAGTAGTTCTCAACAAATATGGCAGTGACTGAACAATGGATCAGTAAAGACTTCAAAACCTCACTAACACCACAAAGGCCCTCTGCAGAATGGATTTTGAGTGAGTTGCTCTTGCTAAGACCTCATCAGCCCACATGGAGAGTCACTCAAAGAGTCCAGTGATGCCCAATCGTTGTCTTGTGGGAACTTGTTGTCAAGAATGGCGTTAATTGTATCACAATGTTTTATTATTTTTAAATGAAAAACCTCAGGAGATATTTCTATTATTTTGAAGATCTTGATTAAATTTATTTTGATTTCTGTCTTCTTTTGCCTCATTTTTCATTTGTGTTTCTGTTCCTTTGTCATGTAAAAACTAATCGTTTCCGGAATAAGAATATATATATACACACACACACAAATAGGCATGCACATACATGCATACGTATATCCAAATATATACCCAGATATGCATATGAATATATGATATACATTACATATATATAAAACATATGACTCCCTCCTCTAACAACCCCTTCTAACCAAGTTATTGACCTTCTTTTTTTTAGGACAATCTCTTAAAGAAATAAATCTATGATAATGAAATTCTACCCAGTGGAAACCCCGGGTAGATACTAATAAGTAGGATGAGCAATATCCAGGTGACACTCAAATTAAGAGGTAGCTGTTACCTCTCATATCCAACCACTGGGCTATTCCAATGTCCATACAATTTTCAAAATCAATTTCAGTCCACATTTCAAACAGAAAAGTGGAGCTGAGCCTCCTGACTTTCATTCCCTTTCTGACTTATCTTTGGCCATTATTAAGCTGTTTAATAGCTTTCCTTTGCCATATTGCTTCCTCCTGTATTTCTCCTTACAGACAGGAAAAAAAAAAAACAGGAAGTCTCCCAAATATCAAAAAATAATTTATTCATATCATCATTTGGGCCTAGCGGTTAGAGGTCGCAGTAAGACAAAATTATGCCACTGCACTCCAGCGTGGGCAGCAGAGCTAGGCTCTGTCAAATAAATACATTAATTAATTAATTAATTAATTTTCCCAGATCACACAGCCAGACCAGTCATTCTGAGCCCACCTGATAAAGACCAACATTTCAGCTCTGCTATGCACTACCTGTGTCTCTCTTGGTAAGTAACATAATTTCTCAAGGGTTCAGTTGCATGAGCTATAAAATGGAATAATATGAAACTACCTGATGTTATTTAAAAACATTCACATGGTTGCTAAATATTTATTGGTAAATGCTAAACACTACTTATTTTTAACTCTTATTCCCATTTTATTTATAGTTTTGTTGCTATTATAAGTAATGTCAGGTTTTTTTACTTAGAAACCTAAGTTAAGGCTCAAATAGAGATTTAGCATAAACATGACAGGGCCTTGAATGCCTGGTATCACTCTTGCAAAAGAGGATATAAGTGTCTATAAAATGCCTGAGGACAATAGCCAGCTTTATACTTCACTGTGGTAGGGAACTGAACACTGTAAATGCTTGCTAGATGTTGAGTGAACTAAGGGGTTCACTCATACTCTCTGCCCCTATCAATGAAGAATACTAGAATATCTGTGGATTGTCATGGGACCTAGGGCAAAAATGTAATAATAGGGCCTATGCCTCACCACTCAACACAGTATGAGACTAAAGAGAATTACTATGGCTATAAAAGGCAACACAGAGGAATGAGGAATTCAGCCTCCTCCCTCAGCTACCCAAGGCATTCACTACAGGGAAATCTCAAAATCCTTAATACTTACAGGGAAGTTCAGACAAATATCACTGCATAGTGGTTTTGCCCTTTCTTCGTGCAGGGTTTTCATCTGTAAGACACCTTTGCTGATAGGATTAAGCCCTATAGGAAGAGTCATTCTGAAGACAAAATTGCCAGCTTCATTCCCCGAGGATTTGAGATTTCACTACAGCGTGCTCACTCTGTTTCCTGTATTTCTAGCTGTGTGTCGCAAACTGGTCTCTCACTTTTATAAACCCTATTCTTGGTTGAGATTTTTAAAGTAAAAACTTTAAGAGAATAAAATGTGAACACTTTAAAAATCACATGTAATATATCTCTAGATTTAAAAGTAATAGACTTTTTAAAAATAAAGAAATAGTAAAGGCAAATTGTAGAGAAACAATTTGAGTCACAAAATCATACTGTTTCCTTGACAAATACGGTATAAGGAAATCTGAGTCCAGTGACTTTGTCATAGACTAAATTATTCTAAAGAAATCCAGTTTTGGTCTCTAAATATGTAGTCCTCTAGAAAAATTTCCAGGAGCACTGAAACAGTCAAAAGAAAGAAGGCAGTTAGTTAAATGTCATGAGACACAGTACAGAGAAGCAATGTTATTGCAACCATAACCATTTGCTAACATCTTGAACTTGTAACAGCTACCTTAAACATATGCTTCCTCACCGTCGTGGCATGTTCAATATCTTTGCACACTTGGAAGCATAAAACACTAATTTCCATGACCCTGTTATTACAGGAGCTGAGGAATAGAGAAGATTGGTGAGGTGGTAACTTAAAAGCCATTCAGAAAGACGATGGCTTTTAAGGTGGTATGCTGTCAGGCTAAGAAGTTAGGCTAAGCACAGGACATTAACACTTTAAGAAATTGTGTCTGTCCATCATAAAAAAAAAATCTCTTGCTGAATTTTAGCCCTTTTTTCTTAAAAATGCACTATTATTACTTATAATAGTTTGAGACATATTTTTAAATGTGTATGCTATTACTAGGAATGAGATTTATTCCTTTAGGCCACTCTATTACCCAACTTAGGAAATGTTTTATAAGAGAGTGTTTTACATGATTTCCAATAATTATTCTTTTTATTTTTTTGGTTTGTAGAAAAATCCCCCTCAATTAATAGGGCACAATGCATTTCATTCATTCAGTTAGTCAATCAGTCATTATTTCAAGAAATATTTCTATCTTTCTCTCTCTCTCTCCCTCTTTCTGTGTGTGTGTGTGTGTGTGTGTGTGTGTGTGTGTTATCAGATGGATTCATAATGGCCAGCAAAATGGGACACAGCTCTCCACTCATTTTTACATTTTAATGAGCAAAATGCATATTTATAATAAATGCATATTTGTAACAATATAAAAATAGAATTTTGTGTAACATAAAAATTGTAATATCATGTAGCAACTCTGATAATTGCTACAAATAAAAAGTATGTGTCTATGTTAATGTCTATCAGGTAGAGACAGTAGGGATTTTTATTTAGACATGGATAGAGACAATTATAACTGTCAATGACAGCCTCATTACAGACTACATCACAAGAAAAATGGGAAATTGCCACTTGGTTTAGAATCTGAAATCTAAGGCTGAGGAGATTGTCCTTATAATAAACAAAACAAACAACACCCGGTTCCCTTTGTCTTCCATAATCTCTTTTTAAAAATGTAGACCTTTGCTCTCTGCATGTTACCCTCTTACCACGATGCTGAGAAATCGGAACCTGGTTATTATAAAAGCTGAAACTGCAATTTATCAAAAGAATGGAAAATCTAAAACAAACCTTAAAAATCCCTAATAAAATGTTTCTATTAAATCTAGACTCATTTTTGAGTGAAGACTAGAGACACATTCCAAATGTAGTGTCTTCTTGCTTGTCCCAACTTAGTCCTCTCTACTGAAAATTATAAAAGAGCACACGGAGAAGTTAAAAATATATAAAACATCATTCTAATAACTTCACTTATTGAAGACAACATCTTTGTTTATCAGTGGGGTGATTAGGTGATAACAGAATCTCTTTACATTTTTCTTAATGGACGTCACCAAAGACGATCTACACTCCTAAATGACCGCTGTAAATGGCTGTTCTGCAAATATGAGCCAGACACAACATACAGAAAACAATCCCTTACTCCTGAAACTACTTTCATGTCATGACACATTTCAGTATCTGGATTTATAGAGCTGCTCAAATTCCCATAGTAATCATGGGATAATGAATTCCTTTGGTCAGGTAGCCACAGGCTCTAAAATGGATTATTTGTTTTAGAAGGAAAAAAATGAATAGACACAAACACGGTATTGATGGCTAGCTTAATGTGCTTTTTGTTTTCCTTTTATAAAAATGTTCTATGATTGTATCTATGTAAAAACTCAGTTTTTATACCTCAGAAGATAAAACTCACAATATAATGGCACACTTGCATTTCTGCCAAGGAATTTTCAGTTGTTGAAAAAAATTGTAAGTTTTATATTAAAAGTCATCACATTATGTATTTTCTAAAACTGAAACGTATTTATCTTACCCTGAAATGCACATGGAAAGCATAATTCATTTTCTTCCACCACTTACACAGAGCAGAGATTCATAAGGACAAGGTAAGCCAAGAAAGCCCCTTCCGAACTTCCTGGAGGCTCACACTCTCAACAGCAAACGAGTCACTGATGACTTTATTATTTACTAATTTATATGATTTTAGTCTTATCTGGATCACTTATCCAAACATGTAAGCTCATACTGGCACACTAAGGAATTTTCTGCTATTTGGAAATAGCACAGACAAAAATTCTGCCATACAGAACACTGCTAAACTCTAGAGCCGGATGGAACAGTTAAATTTGCTAACTTCTTATAGTAATAATAACAAATACTTAGGTTTATAATGTGCCAGGCATGGAATAATTCATTTAAACCTTACCACAAACCAATAAGATGGTACTTTTCTCATCCCCATTTTACAGATGAAAGAACTGAAGCCTAGAGACACTAATGAATCGCCAGAGTCCCAGAGCTGGGTGATGACAAGGCTGGAAGACCACCTTCTCGCAGAGGGCACCTGTGAGAACTCATTTCAGGCTGCCACAGAGCCACTACAAACCAACAGCAATTTTTGTATTGCTTTATTTAAGTTTCAGGTTTATTCTAACCAAGCAGAGTTATCCCAAAAATTTCAGAGGAGAAATAAACTGTTTTCCTTCTTCTCTCTCTGTCCAAGGTCTATTTTTATCATGTATATAGTACTGTAGAATTACACTTGAAAATTAGCTGAGGACCCCAAATGCCTCTAAGAAACTATAGTGGTTTGAACCGTGCTTTATTGCAAAGTACTTTAATTTTTAAAACTCCTTTATATCATACAAACAGAAAATGTGAGCACCATTTCAAAACAGTGATTTAAACAGATGCAACCTATAAAGATTTTACCACAGCCATGGTCAAGAGTATTTTAACATAGCCATGGTCAGGATATATTTTCTCCTGAAGTCTACACACAATCAGCTCAGTCATGACTGTACTTCTCTGTTTCTTCCATTCATAGCAACCTATTTATTGCCCCATTTCTGCTTGCCGTACCTAAGGTTGATCTGTTTGCTTCTTTTGCTTCCTAACAGCCAAGGGCTGTGCTGCATTGCAGGCAATTCGCTTCTGGGATGTCCTTAGAGAATTTCTTTGCTGCCCTGTTTGCAGTCACCCTGTACATCCCATAATAGAGCTCTACCATCTAGACTGTGCACATTTCCAGCCCGGCAAAAATGGAATTACATGAGATATAGTTTCAAAGTTGTATTCATTCAATGTTACAAATGGTCCTTAGCTGACATTGATGAAACTCCTCAAGTGTCTGATGGGACATAGGTGACAAAGATAAATCTTAGGCATGTGCACAGGCAGGTGTTTGTGTGAGTCCAGAAAAAGTGAGTCAGTTTAAAACTTTAGCACTATAGGTCAGCTCTAGATGAACATTTATTTCCACTGTTATCAGCCTTTCATTCTTGTCCCTTTAAATAATGACAGCTATCTATATAGTATATTTTATTAACCAAATGCCAGTTGCTGTAATGACATGTTTACTTATTAAACGAGATCTCGCGTAGAACCTTTTAAAGCATCTATTATGTAAGGGTTACTTCTCTGTGATCTTACAGAATCTTAGTATAAACATTTTATAATTTCGAATGTGTTGTAATAACTGATCCACTTACCAGTCTCCCTCACTAAATCATAAGCTCTAAATGACAAAACAAATCAACAGATAAAAAAGTAAATGAATGAAGAAAGAAATACATATATTCTCCACTTCATCCCATTTATTCTGGAGCTTAAAACACACAATTACTCTTAGCTATCATTTTTAATATTAATTACTATTCCTCTCCCTTACCCAGCATCTACACAATGGCAGGACTTGTTGCTACCACCTAGTTTTTCCATAATAAACATGCCATGACCTCTTCCTTCATTATGCTACTGAAATCCAAGCCTTCTTCAATAGGACCCTCACTCCACTTTTTCCCCCCTTTGAAGCTTGGGTTCCCTAAAAACACCAGCAATACTTTTTTCCAAAATGCAAATCTAATGTCATGTTCCTCTGTGGAGTTCATCAGTTGCTCCCAGATGGCACACAGGGACCTTCATGCCTGACACACCCTTCAATCTAGCTGCATCTGCCACCTCGTGATTTCTAAAGCACTGTTCTAGCGCTCCCATGGGCCATGGCTCTGGACCCTGTGCCTTTGCCTTCATATTCTCTTCCTCTAGGTCTTCATGTGCTCCTCAGCTTTCAGATGTCACTCAGGATTCCTCCTCCAGCAGTCCCTCCACCCACCTTGGAATTATCCTTCAGAGAAGGCTAAGGATGTCCTCATCCTATCACACAGGGGGCCTTAGCCCTCCTCCTGCCTGTTTCCATTTGCTGTACACATTTCTACTGCTAGTTCCATTTTCCCTGATAAAACCTTTTAGCCTCTAGAGAAAAACATAAAATATTCATTGTTTTTATTCCCTTCACTCGACCAGGTGCCTGACTCATGGGAAACACAGATGAATGAAGGTTGACCTCAGCTGGATTTTCAGGAATGAGTTGTTCTATCCTGTTGAACCAGATTAAAAATCAGTTTCTCTAGAACAATGCCTCTCAGCATTCAATCTTGTAACAAAGTGTAACCCTTCTGTTAATTTTTTAAAATTATAATCAAAATAATCTTTCTCACATTGGAGTTGCCCAGTTATACTAAACAACAATCTGAATGGAGGGCATTTAAGCCACCTTCCATCATGAGGGGGTCATTGAATTTTCCTGGAAGTTGTACAGGTAATAATTTCCTAACCAAAGCTGACCATATAATTGGGCTGTCTTTGCCTCAGTAGGAAAATAATCAATTAAATCACATTTTCAATTTTTTTTAACTGTGGGTATTTTAGTTTCCACACATGTTTAAAATTAAACATATTTATTACCTCATAGCTCAACTTATTAATAGTACAAAATGTAAAATCTCCAAAAAACAGAAAATCGGTAGCCAGTCCAGAGTTCTCTATTTTTGGTCAGCCAAATTGATACCTGTACCTAGGAGGAAAGTTCATGTTAGAGTTCCTACTAATGAGGACAGACCTGCTCCCTCTCAAATCTTGTCTTAGTCACAAAAGACTGGATTGAAATAAAAATTACACTGCACTTCGATCCGAGTTGCAGTGGTAAAACGTTAGCCAGAACATATCCAAAAGCAGGCTTTCCTCACATATACGGAAGAAAATCAGATCAGAATTCAGCAGGCTTCTGCATCTTAGAGGCAATAAGGGTATATTGTATAAAAAGCATCAGCATAACAAATGGAACATAATCACTCAGCATATAAATATTTAAATCTAAAGATGGTGGATTAAAATGAGCCATCGGATATCAAAAAAAGGTGGTGGCTCTAAAACATAAAACGATAAAACATGAAGAGCCATGTGTTAAATCTCACCTGGACATAAAAAGGAACACCATAATAACCACTGAATAATGACTGTGACCATGCTTTTGTGACAAGTCACTGAGATTTGAAATGAAAAACTGATTACTAAATAAAAGGATTTGTTTTCATTGTTGAATTTATTCACATATTGAAGAAAATTTATTTTGCGGTTATATCTGAAGGTCAAATAATAAAACTGAAGCATTTTGCCTATTGCAAAGATTCCCCTTGGAGCTGGGAGGTAGGTATCTTCTAGATTTTGAAGTTTAGCTCTTTTCCTCAGACTTATATATAAGAGTAGACATGGCCAGGCGCAATGGCTCACGCTTGTTACCCCAGCACTTTGGGAGGCCGAGGCAGGCAGATCACAAGGTCAAGAGATGAAGACCATCCTGGCCAACATGGTGAAACCCAGTCTCTACTAAAAATACAAAAATTAGCTGGGCGTGGTGGTAGGTGCCTGTAGTCCCACCTACTCGGGAGGCTGTGGCAGGAGGGAGGCGGAAGTTGCAGTGAGCCAAGACCATGCCACTGCACTCTAGCCTGGCAGAGAGTAGACATTTCCAGGAAGTACAGAGAGCCAGAGGGTGTGGCTAGAACAGGAAAGGCAGAGGAGTGTCCCAAATGCTGCCACGCCCTCCGCAGCCAGCCTACTGCAGCAACTTCGCTAATCCACCCTGGGGTTTGCCCTGCGGACTCTGCCATCTTCTCCCTGGACTGCCTAGGGTACGCCGCCGGCTACCTTTCTCTGCCTCCGGACACTATCATTACTGCTTCATTTCTCCCTCTCCAATCTAGTTCTACAGTTTCATGTTCACAAACGCTGAAACTGAACTATTATTTCCTATCTAATATCTAGAAAAACAGAGCCCTGTTGTTCTGCGCTTCATTTCCATTCTAGGAACAGCTCAAGGATGAAGGAATCAGATCCTGTAAATGGTCTCATTTTGACTGATAGCCCAAGATGCATTGTTCTCTTATATATCATATAACGTAGCACGATATGCAATATACAGTACATATAATGCTACCTCATCAACCACCAGCTGGCTTTATTGGTTCCTTATAAATTCTTGTTTTCCACATTTTATTTTAGGGTTGACATTTTTCTGATTATATCAACTGCAATGAACATTATTATAAATTCAATTACAAAAAAACATTAAATGGAAATTTTTTTTAAACAAAGCACCGGAAACACGTCATGGTCCACATGATCACTGTCATTATCTGTGCTGAGTTTAAAATGGAATATCATGAATGAATATGCAGTTCCATGTGACTCTCAACAACTGACATTGCATATAAGAATGGTTCTTGATCTCCAGGAGCCCTTTTTCTAAGACTTGCCTTTTTCTCATTGTCTAAGAAATTTATTAGAGGCTTGAAAATGTCTTATCATTTCATTAGCTTTCATTTTTTTTCCACATTATAGTGCAAATATAACTATAAATGCCTATTCAGTTTCCTCTGAAATAAACATTAACAAAGAAGAAAAGAGCAGTTCTCCTCTCCTAAATAAACATTAACAAAGAAGAAAAGATTGAAAATATAATGCTCAGATATATGTTTGTCAATTACATCAAGTAGTTCTGGCTAAAGTCATTTTCTTTTCCACCTATTCACTCACTTAATTAGAAAAAATTTTTAATAAATAATTTTGAAAGTTATTTGATATGTTTTCACCCTTGTCCACATAATATAAGGAATATCTTCATTACAGTTTGGCCTCTTCTGCAGATGGTTAGTTAAAATCATTTATTTAAATTTAAAATCAGAAGAAAGCACTGTATCCACTGACATTTTCAATGGAGTCCCTGTGATAGAAATACTTCACAGTTACACTGCGATTATTAAATATCTACTTAAGTCTTGGCCCTAGAGTGACAACCCACATTCCAAGAACAATGGGGGGAAATTAAGAAGCTTTAAAGAAGGTAACATTTTAAAATTCACCCAAGTTTCTAAGTTCTATTCTGTTCTCAGCCCTCAGTGCGATGTCTGCTTGATTAGATTGCTGAAGGCACGTGGAATCACTGTTTTCTTTTGACTGCCATTCAAAGTTGCCTATCCTGACTCAGAAGTATGCACTATCTCATTAACACAACATTAACAAACCTTTTGAATAACACACACACACAAGTCAGCCATTATCAGTTTTCTCTTTTTTTGTATTCCCACAGCATATTCTGTAACCTAGATTAC